TAATAACTTGATTGGAATTATAACCTTGAATTGACAGTTTGATACTTTGAAAATTTTGAGCCAGCCCTACCCCCAAGGGCTGTAGGGTGGGGCTCAAAGGAGTCAGTGTGCTAAAATTTCTTCATTTTCCTTGTTAAGAATCAGAGGTGCTAGTTTCAAATCCTTTTTAGTCTGAAATCTGTATGCTAGATATTGAGTAAGGTGGTTTTATTGTTTTTTGTCACTTTGAATAATATTTCTGTTCATGTTAAAAACAAAATCAACTCTCTGTATATATATCAGGTGACCGTTAAGGCCCATGAGCCTCTTGTTCTGTATGTATCAGTAGACTTGCTACATATGTGACAACACACTATTTTCTTTTTAACCTCTAGATCTATATAAACCTTTCAAGCTCACGGTCATAATTTGCCGCTCTTCTTATCGTGGCGATGTCTTGAAATAGTGTTTGTATTTTTGTAATATGCAGATGTCATGTGTAGACAGGCGATACCAACAGATTGTTGGATTTTATTAATTAAAATAAATAATTTGTATTAAGGATTACGTAAATGCTAATGGTTAATCTTCTTTCGACCAAATGGCGACTGGAAATGTAAAAAAAATCCATCCAAGATGTATTCAGGTTAAATAGAAAAAAATAGAAAAAACATCGAAAGGGTCACGAATGAAAAACACCGCACAGAGGTTGTAAAATGAACGCATTGGGTACATTATGTATCACGTGGCAAATATTAGCGCACGCAAAACAATGGCCTTTTTCTAAAAAGTTAGCTTATCTAGGTCACCTTTGCTTATCATAGTCTTATGGATACGAAAAGGACTTTTATTACATTTTACCTGGTAGAATATATATCATCAGCATAGTACACATAGATACGTTGACTATTTCCGACAATTCATTAAATAATATTTAAAACATATCAATAATTATTATTTTGATTATTGACATCGTTTCTTAAAGACGTTACACCGCGGAGGCATTCCATTCAAGATCGAAAATTTGAAAACTTGTCGTCGCCTGTTTTGTGGTTGATGTTAAGAAAACCTGTTAAATGTTGAAGTCGCAAATGAAGAACGAGTAAATATGGTTATTCTGGTCGACGTCTGGGTGAATGACGGAAAGATACATATGTGTTTTGGATTGTGTTTCTTGAGCTGAGCTGACATTGATAGAGAATTGGTATTTTAATCAAAGCGGGACACGAACGTGCCGGACAGTCAACTAGAGAGAACCTGCTTCTGTCCTTAACTGCATTGATCTGTTGCATGGTCGAAGACAAAGTTCAATATGAATTTTAACGTACCTGGTTTAGGGGAACGGCGAGCTTATGCCGTGTTCGTTCATTAAAAACCTTCACATTTGAGACCATTACAATTACCTGGTATTCCCACAACTCCGGGGCCCAAATCTAATGTAATTTGACAGTTTGAGGTTACACTTCGTGTATGTAAAAGTGTTAACGACCTATCAACACAGGCGAGGTATTTAGGGCCAATCAAAGGTAAATTAAACACGCGAAAGATATATGGCATACAACAAACAAAATGATAAATAGACAAACGACAATTTGAAAAGTCAAAGTTGCTATGGGTATTAGTATTGTTTTAAATAGACCAAAGGGTGTTAGGTAGGTTATACTTGTTGCGATATTTACCGTTTCGAAGAATGGTTAAGATTTTGTATATAACTATAAAATGCTTCTCGTGCTTGCTGGAGGTCAATGTACTCGAATAACAATGTTTTACTGTAAATGGTTCGTGACAGTAAATACACTCTTCATTGTTAAATAACCATGTAGTATTAGACCATACACGTGCATGTATATTATTATCATATAGACGTACCCTCTCCCAAACCCTCTCCCGCAAATATAAAACTAGCGAGCAAGGCGTACACGCATTTGAGTATGTATCAGTAGATTTGCAAGCTGACAAAACACAACTTTCTATTTAACCTCTAGGTCAACCAGAAATAATTCTCCAACAAAACGCCTCCATCTCACGCATAAAATACTCATACGGAGGCACGTCTTTAAATGACCTAGGCTGTTAAATGAATACTTACCTTTATAAACAAAACAAAACCACACCTTGCAATATCATATTTGGAACGATAATCATCAGTTTTGTATGAATCATTAATGTTTAGTTGGTTTTTAACAAATATATAATTTGAACTCTTTGCACTTCATTATTGTCAAAAGAAACAATCGTTTTCGAAAGCTCGCAAAATATGCATTCAATTACTGTTGTTTTCAAAACAAACTGGGCATATATTACGATAATATGGAGGGGAAACAGCGATAAACCAAGCTTACCCGAACCTGCAGGGATGCAATATTTGTTCAGATTTGTTTGAATTATTAAAAAGAAAACAAGAGAATTGAAAATGGAACATGAATTACTATTAAGGTTTTCCTGTCAGTAATGACCTAAATGCCTTACTTTATTTTCACTTTTAACAGATATCAATATTTGTAACATGTGTGATGGAGGCGACATATGTGATTATATACGCCTGGAGAGACATATCGCTAAATATCGCCAACGTAAGCTAACAGATACAAAAGTGTCAGGAGTTATTAATGACAAATGTAATTGCTGGTGGCGAACACATTTGTCATTTATTTTCATTACCATACGTTACTTGGTGATATCTTGATAGATGAAATACATTTTTTGAGTTTCTTAGTTTCTGAATTTTCTGACCATGTTATTATGATAGAATGAAAACGAAAATAATATATATATATATACCGTACATGTCAAATTGCTTTAAAAGTTTCATTAATCTTACAATCGTGACGGCTTCTTTTTACTTGGAACTTTCCACAAGAACAATTTTACACGAACGTAGCAATCTGATACATGCATCAACTATTTATGTGTTATGCGTCGCATGACTGCACACCGCTAGTTACTGTAAACATTAATTAATCACAACCCAAACCTACTACTGCGTAACATGTTTGTAACGCTCTTAAGCATCCTTGCTTGAGGGAAGACGTTCATATAAAACTAGGTTATGTGTCATATGATCAATTTATTTTTTGTCAATAACATGTGGTTTCAGCGGACACTCCGACCGAACATGACAACAAAGCAGTAAAATAACTTAATCACGGTCACGAGACAATCGATGCAAAATATGATAAAAACGTTAAATCCAGCGTGACTAATTATATTTGCCCTAACTGTAAGGGTGACACATGTCTAATATATTTAAAACAAAAAGTACGGACATCATCACACTCTCGCACGTGAAGGACTTGACAGTTGGACAATGAAAATGCATTTGGTAGCAGTGATATTACTCGTGATATGCCTTGGTGTGGAGATCCAAGGAAAGGATAAACCTCGTCAAGCTCGTAAACCACGTAAGTTTGTTTAACACTTATAACAAAGTCAATACTTTCCCGAATTTAAAAAAAAAATGGTATCCATAATTTTGTAACGATTATGTTGGCCCTCAATCATATTTCCTTGAATTACATATGTAAGCTGTATACATAATTATAGTACCTATTTTATTATGATGATCTATGTATTAACATGAATAAACTTCATGCAAAAGCCAATTTCATAGTTAATAGCCCATGTGAGTCATTAGGAGCATAGACTATAGTACACATGGCCTATTGCTGTCGTACATTGTAAATAAGCATTTTAAATCATCTAAAACTTAAAAGCAAATACCAGTGAAGGGATTTCAATGAAAATTCCTGATAAAATGTTGTTATTTTCTAGTTGGTCAGGCTTCCAAGATCGTCTCTACAGCCGGTAACCTGAACGTTTAAATTAATGCCTAAGAATTTTTATTAGTTTTAGGGGTACCTAAAAATAAAAAAAAGCCAAGATCGCAGCCATAGTTTACATTAACATAACATGTTTTACGTCTCTTTCTTTAAAAGCTTTCCGTTGATTTAACAAACAGTATTTCCCCATGGTGTTATTCGTCCTGTTTAGACTCGTGCATCGATGTCCTATGCTGTTCCATTAAACCAGAAGTTAATTGGTTTTCTATGGCATCTACATGTACATCATAATTTCCATGTTTCGGCTTTGTTGACAAATTTGACATTGATAGTATTTATGTAGAAGGGTTTTTTGGTTTGATTTAATATTGTTTAACAGCTATGGTCATTTAAAGACGGCCTCTACTGTGTACAAGATGCATGCGTGTAGTGTGTGCGTGCGACTGAAGGAGATAAATGTGAGTAAATGGGTACTCCGTTGACAATAAAGTTGGTCTGTTTCGGCTGTTGCTTTCTAGACTATCGGATATTGTTAATTGTTATGAGATATACGAAAGAAGATGCTCAAAATAAATAAAAAAGTGTCATAAAAGCTGTTGTTAGCGCCACGATAATAGTTGATAAATCATTACAAGATGTGACTCAATGTGTGTGTACTAGCGGAAGTATGTTAGTGTGTTTGCCTCCGTGTATTATTGACAATTTAACTTAGTCATCATTAATAAGCATAATGTGCTATGATTTAACTTGCTGAAATATAAATTGATGTTCAAGATATTTCGTTAGCAAGTCTGATGATAAGTTTGAAGGTTAGCAAATTCCGTTCGTACTTAATCAGCCTACTGCACTCGTTTTGACTAACGGTTTCAGGGCAATATTTCAATCACATCGATTCTGATGAAACATAAGCAAGATTTATAATACTCAAAGACAACAGCTCGGTGATACAATGAAACAAATCTGCTCATAATTAATACGCAAACTGAATCTGGATTGGTTGACGGCGTCCAGTAAATAACTTAGTCAAACATGATCGAATTCTGATGAGATTTGGTCAATATTTAAGACACAATCATTCATCCGAAGGCTTTTGAATATTTCAGTTTGCCATGGAACGGGAGTATATTGTTCCGCTTTGTGTAACTCCTAACATGTAACATTCCCAAAACGAAACTGATTGAAGGCTAATAAGGTCATCAGAATATGCACATAACCACTTCCCTCTTGTTATCTTTAACTCAACTTTTACTTATCTATCTAATAATTTCACAAAGCATCTTTGCAAATGCCAAGATATTTTTTTCTTCTGTACTCATATCTAGCAGATGAGCGTATGCCCGACAACCTTTTGCTGCGAATGAATGTGTTGCCTGTGCTGTTGACGTTATTGCTCCAGGTGATAATTATGAATCCATTTAATATGATCATCGTGTTTGGTGTTAATTATGAATCCATTTAAATATGATTATCGTGTTTGAATTTTCACTCAGAGAGGACATGGAGTAAATGGCTGAGGTGTACTGTGTCCTGTGGGAAAGGCTGGCAATCTCGTTTATGTCTAAAGGACAGATCGTCATGTAACGGTCGAATGGCGCAAAGAAGGATGTGTAACGTACATCCATGTCCAGTACCAGGTAAGTTACTTATTTTAAAAATTCAAAATGACATTATGGTTAATAAGTTTAACCTATTGAAAAACACTACGTCTGATTACATTTTGAGAGTGAAAGCTACGATACACGTGCAAACGAAAGGCACATACAGCCCGTGTCGAAGTGAATTGATGAATATTAATGAATATTTACGAATTAGTGGTATGTCTAGCGACATGTTCATGTACATGCATACAGGTATACGTGATATATAGCAGCCAGTACACGGGAAATATAACACCTTCAGAGTGATATAATTATCAGGTGGAGCACAAATGGATTTAATAACTACCTGTGCCAATTCTAGTGAAAGCTTAACGAAATAACGGTACTGACAAATAAGAAGGACATTCATTACATTAGTTCGGAGTTTTCTATTTCTGTTTTCTAACAAGAAGGAGAGAAGATAAAATATGCTTGTTCCATTATGACCGTTCCTATGAAATTTTATAACGTTATGAAATTTTATAACGTACTTGAAACCTCGTACGTTCGTGAAAAGAAAAAGGCAAGCCATCTCCTACCGCATGATGTCGTAAATAGCGATTTTCGTGAGCCATACGCATGATCTGGAACTTTTTCTGCTTCTGGGACATTGAAGAATCGAAGACTAGTCCGCCACCAGTATTTCAACACTGTTTTTGCTTCTCTATGATTTCCTTTCGGCGGTGTCTCTAGGCAACCGACGTCATTTGACATTAACTGTTGCCATAACCAAAAAAAACAATGCATTTCCAGAGAAATGGCGCGAATTGATTAAAACTTTCACACATCCTTGTTGAACCGGAATTTAGAAAAATAAATAACACGAGCTATACATATTGTTTTAGCTTAGAACTGTTTGTACGTGTAAATGACTTGCCATCGGCTTTAGTTATATACCATATAGTGTGCTTGTGTCAAATTTTTTGTTCATTATTACGTGACAATATAACATGGTGATAGACGCATCGTCGCAAAAAACCTATATTACTCTTCTATTTGTATCTCTTTATTACAGAAGATGGCAGCTGGTCTGCATGGCAGCCATACGCCGACTGTGAGAGGTCATCGACAGATTACAAATGCATGGGTATACAGGAGAGTATACGGTTATGCAATTCCCCTGCCCCACAGCCTGGTGGGAAGTACTGTACTGGGTGTGAAACCAGGGTGAAACCTTGCTCGTTATGCTAGTGTGGAACAAGGAATACTGTCTATAATGACACAAATTAAGTTACAAGACATTTCACAATGAGTAACCATTTCTTTTTTACTTGATGGTCGCTTGAAAAATTTCAGAAGGGTGCATGTCATTACTCGTGAACAGCAGAAAAATACTTTAAAACTTATATTCTCTATATTTGGCCATGTTATAAGGTTTGCAGGAAAAACGTAGTCTAAGGTAGAGGTAAAATTATACATTGCTGGTTGGTTATTGAACAACCACGAGATGGAAACCTTTTCCTTGCATATTCTTATCGTCAATACTACGAACAAATTATTGCCGTTACACACCTGTAATCTATTATCATAATCGCACAAGCTTCATTCTGTATACTTTACATTAAATATTATGATTGATTCACATAAAATATTATGATTGATTCACAAACGACTATCGTATCCAGTAGTTGGTCAGTTCTGACTGATATGTTTTGAAAAAACTGTAAGGTGCTCCTCCGCTCAAAAAATCGCATTCTTCATTTGGCATTTCATTGTTTTAACTTTGGGAGACTAGATATACAAATAGTATAGTTTTCTATGTTACCACTGCTGTTTGTGCACTATTATGGTTACCCACTATTCTAGTAGAAATATGCATCCGATTGAACAAAGATTGTTTCCCTATGTCGTTATTTTGTTTGCTTTTTTTCCCTTAATCATACATAAAATAATCGTCATGGACTCCATGTCAGTAATTCGAACTATGAAAACCATTCTCTTTATATGTTTTTGTCTTTTATATGCGCAGGGCATTGATGTTCTGAAGTGTAACATTAGTATGTCATGTCAGTATAATGATAATTAGAAAGAAATGCAGGCTTCTTAAGTAACACACAACCTGTAACGTGAATACTTTCAAATTAATTTAACAAAATATATTCGTTGCTTGCCATTTCAACCAAATTTGAACTAATATGCAATCAGTCACAGAGATCGACAAAAGACCACATCTACTTTACACATGGTCACATTTAACCTTACAGAAGTGTATGAGGAAGGTCACTTAATTGCCATGCATACAATCGACCTTTTTGAGATATTTTGTAATTGAATGCGACGATCAAAATCAAACGCATGAACAAGTTGCTGCACTAGCTACGTATGAATAGTTTTTATACAGTTTCTGTGTCAGTCATATACTTAACTTACAGTCAATTGATTATTATGAAAAAGACGTCATGCAACCATTTGGATTGCAGTTGATGTATTTTGCTTCGTTTTGCCGATTTTACACTTTTTATGACCTAATCGGCTAAAACATACAAAGAACTAACGAACGATACAAAGGCAGCTAGCTATTCGTTAGGTGTCTTATTACCAGCACTGTTAATGTATTACAAAGACTCGTAACTTACAAATTGCAAACACAAATGACAGTATTAATAGTGTATTTATTTATCTATCTTCACGTGGCAACTTGCAAGAAATCTTATCACATACAAGGTGCATATGACCTCGGTGAATATGAAGCGACGATGATTTTATGGTATACTTTATATCTGTTCATATATCTAACATCGCTAGTAAATCAGGCAGATGTCTGCAACTGATTATTTATTTTACCATACCATCGTGTTTCAACTATTATTGTTACTGTAGTATATCCTTCTAGAGACGTGCTGAAGGCCTTCATTACAAAACAAAAAGTCTTATCAGATATAAATGGTAAACCTTCTTTGGCAATTTGTTTTTAATTTATATAAATTTAAATTTTTCTGAATATATGTTTTGCATTTACTATGATAAACAATTTCATACCATGGTGTTCAAACTGAATATGTTGTCTTTTTGCTCGGATATTGATATTGATGGATAACAAACGAAGAGATCATTGGTACCTTCCAGGATCCTTATTAGTTAAACGCAATTTTGACTTTTTCTCTAAGCGTTTGGAGCGATTGTTCTGTTGACATCTTTTGATGAAAATATAATGCAGCCGGGTTGGAGATTGTTCTTCTAACGTAATGTCCTTATTAACTTAAATTGTCAAAATACAACATGACTGCTAGGGCCTATCTTGTTTTCTCGATCACTCTCAAAATTGCGTTTACACAACAAATGACAAGCTGGATCATACATGCCAAATTTTGGAAATGACTGTCCGATACTTATTGTCAATTTTAACTGTCAAAATCGAACGAGGTTGCCCGACAGCCATCTTGTTTGTTTTCGTTTTAATAATTTTCTCACATTGAAACATGTAAAGCCAAAATTGACACTACAACTAAATTGAGAATACATTTTCATGCGGAGTTCTAAAATGAGAGCGAAAACAAACTACAACTGTAGGATTTCAAGATGGCTTCCAGTAAGCCAATCTTGTTTTCCAATAAAATTAAGCATGCAAAAGTATGGACCTAAGGAAAACTGCATATGGTTATAAAAAAGATCCATTTGTACATGTTCAGGAAAAATTCGACAACAATAATTGTTTAAGGACGGAATACGGAAGAATGTCAACGTGATCACCAGCTGGTGATGGAGGGTCAGAAAGTATACGAGTAGGGGACACGTACAATTATGTCCTGATGATGTTTCAATTACCACTACCATAATATGTCCCTCCGAATGAATATTCATTAGAACTCAAAGTCAAACGGTCAAAGCTAAAATGAAGTCCATCATCATATACGCATTCTTTAGAGTATGCATCAAATGCATTATACATTATTGACCCAATACAATGTAAACACTTTAGAATAGTTAAGAGTTTATGTCCTTTTATGTCGATAACCTAAACTCTTTGAATGAAGAGTGTTACGAATTCGTGCCAATGTATTTAATAGTAACATTCGTGGACTCATTAACTTTGGAGTCATTTTGGAATTTCCGACTAGTAACCTTAGTTTGGTACCAAAACGTAACCTTTTCTATAATGATAATTAGCGTGGCTAAAGTCAGTCCTATGCCAATCAGGTAAAATGCACTTTGCACATCAATCAACGTTATAGTCTTTGCTGACGTCACCAACTCGCCGTCACAGAAGTTTCTCTGGGGCCACCAACGGGATTTCCAGATGTGTAGTAATCCGCTCTCGTGTATGTGCAGTAATCTGATGTAAAAAAACATAAAGATACACGTCAAATATCAGATTAGTTTCAGTCGGTGTTTATAAAAAAGTCAATGATTTTGTATCAAATATGACCAAATACATTTCCAATTTCAAGCAATATTCCATGTAAAACTGGTTTGTGATAAGGTTATAATAACGCATTAATATATAAAACTATAAAAGTTTAATTTTAACCAAAGCAAAAAGACACCCTGCAAGTGTGTTATGTGTAATTTAATTCAATGTATAAGGATGTCAACTTAAAAAGAGAAGGCTGGCATGTTGATACAGTAAAAACAACTAAGGATCATAAATTTAGTAAAAACAAAATTGATCTGCAACTCTAATTGCGACTCCTGGGACTTGAATCTTGGCTTTTTTCTCTAAATCTTGGCTTTTTTCTCTACGTCAGTGTCACATTAGACAACAGACCGCATAACTGTTGCTGTTGAATGAATACGTTAAAACCAAGACACATAAATAATAAAAACAACTTACATGCAGTTTGAAAGATAACAACAATCTTAGTATCAATGATATTGCTACAATGTAATAAAAGTCCACTTCTAAGATCTGACTTGACATCAGCATTTGATTAAAATGAGGCGTTGTTTTACCATTGGTATTATGGTGGTTAAGGGTATAAGGAAGTTTGTTTCTTTGGTTTTTGGTTTTATATAATTGCAAAAGTTAGGTTATGGTAGGACAGTCTCTAAGAATGATGTGTCCACCTCAGGGCAACTTTATTTGCCATTTCATCTACACTAGGATATAATATAATTCTGCTGCGCCCATTGCAATATTTGGGATCTTATAATTCTTTCTACAACAAACTAACTTTTGTTTCCTAGCGCCTTGCTAGCCAACATCTCACTTTTGGCTTTAATGTTGAACGTTCGCCTAAGTGAGGAATGCGATGGGTTCTGTCTCCAGGTCGGGACATATCTAAGTCATTTAAAACGGTAATTGTTATTTCCTGCTTAACGTTCAGCATTTAGGGTAATGACAACAACTGGTGCACCCGTTGTCAGTAAAATGTGACCGGGCAGGATGCTTTACTAGATGTATTCGGCATCAGATCCGCACTATCACAAGGAGGCTAAAACACCAACAGATATTGTCTCTATTACACATACACACATGTAGGCATACACATCACACGTGGAGGCACGTCCTTAAATGACCTTTGATGTTACAAAATAAAACCAAACCAACTAAACTAGGACCGGTAGCATGACTCTCCACCTTGCACCGCCTACAGATTCAAACATGTATCATAAGCCATATTGAAACGGTATCTGCCTGAAACTATAATTTAGCCCATTCTAAAGCATGCTCTTTGAAAGCACCTTGAATATGCTGACAACCTCAAGATAATGTTGAATATATCTAATTGTATTTGATTCGTAACGGCCTTTCGTTAAAGAGGTCAATAGTGCCACCTAAGGTAAATAAAACATGTTAAAGGATATGATGTATATAAATGTTGAGAACATGTGTTACGTTAACACCGAGGTAAGTTATTAATAGTAATTGATACCGCAGTAAACCTTTACATAATTTCTTTGTTTTAACCCTTAGCACATGTAGCAAAACACTTGATGTACTGATATGATATATTTAACAATAGTTTTAGGTTTTTTTTTACTTACTCGTCAGAAAACATTTTTGTGTAAGGTGAAAAATTTGGAAGGCCTAGAGCGTATTGCAAGGGCATAAATTCGTCGTCCGATATTAGAAGGGAACATTCTTCAGCCATCTTTATTTCCATTTGAGTTTTATCTCCAATGTATGCATATCCTCCTCCGAGCACCTTCTTAAAGTGTTCACTGGACTGTGAACTCAATATGCTGTTGTCAGAAGCATTGAATTCCAACATTCCGGCCCATACCTTCATCAAATCAGGGGCTTGGGTCTCCTGTAAACCACAAAGGAAGCAATAAATGCCCACAATTGAGTGTTTTTAATAATATTGCTACAAATGTTTTTGCCAAAATCGAAAAATATCATTATTATATGACACTTTACTAGGCATCATGCACTCTATTGCAGTACTAGCAAAGACAGCAGGTATTATTATGTTTACCAAGTCAACTTCCTTAATGAATGTTTGTTTTGCCAAAAAAATGAAAGTTTTTAAGGGAAGGTTAATTTTAGATGTATTGTGCATATGTTTTTTTTTATCTTTATTTACAACTTAAAAGGTATTTAAATTGGCATTTTGTATATGATCGGAATCAGTGTTAAGCATGAAAATAGCAGTATACGGATTTTCTTCAATTCTTGACTCGGCGATCAGTATTGATTTTACATTTTAGACTCTGTGATCAATATATTTTACATAAATGATTCGATAATCAGATGACTGTTTTTTTACACAACAAAAAGAATGTGAACATAGTAGAACATATCATCGAATAACAGTTTACACTTATGTTAAGCCGTTTAAAGAGTTTTATTAAAACCAGTTGGTAGCACTTATGATTTAAAAATATAAAGACATTATTTGCTGTTCAACCTAATGTGAGTATGTGCAACAAGTAGAAACAGAACACAGGAAGGAAGTTGTCCTATCCCGATCGCGCTTTAGCCATGAATACCAACCTTATTCCCCATTCAAACGGCACATTGAAGCTGAGTATTGAAATAGCATAATCAGGATGTGGCTGTGTGCGTTACCTTTGATGAGTATTTTTAATGAACTTTTTATCTTCCATTTGCTTTTACTTTATCGACCTTTGTTATCACTATTTTTCAACTGACGACGTTTGTAATCTGTGTGATTCGTCTGTCAACCGTAAAATCTGTGTGGAAATGTAGTTAGATGTATTTAGCACGGTGCAGTATATTTCCGGTAACGAAAAATGAAATGTATTAGAAGCCCAAAAGTGATCGATATATTAACACTGCGCCTTGTGATAAGTTTTTTTAAAACTTTGCAGCCCTCGTAATCAGCGTATTCATATAACGACCTTCATGACAAGTGTATTTACGTTAAAGGCAGTGATCCAAGAGCTGCCACCTATGGTGCCCCAGCGGTAGTGGTCCTGCTGTAGCATACCAGCCACTGTAGAAAACGGGGGCTTGTCCTTGTTGACAGTCAGGAATGCGATAAGGTTACCGCTATATGTAGCCATCATGATGATACAGAATAACCACCAGGAGCTAAGCAGGGTACGCCCAGTCTGAGACCGTGGGAGATGTTCTCCTCCTGCAAACACGATGATTGGTATGTATACAGATATGAGGAAAACAGTTAGTTTAATAATAACGAGAGTACCTAAACTAAGAAATCAAAAATCGAAATTCAAACTGATTAAACTTACACCATTTGGCATAAATACATGGAAGTTGTACATGAAGACTCGGAGCTATAAAATTAGCAATAACTTGGTTTCAATGATTGAATATAGTTTGATCAAAGACCATGTAAAAAGGCATTTTTTCTACTTTTTAACACATGACCATAAGAAACGTTATTCCATTATTCTACCAGGACACCTTAAACACTTTCGAAAACTCAGAACAATTTTGTTCAAATGACATGCTTATACCTTGTGTGAGCAGTGCACCATACATATACCAAAATGCATCCTGATAGGTATGTAAGCCACTTTGTCCTTCCCTTTCTTCATCGCCAACATAAAACGGGCTGAATCGCTCAAAAAGGAAAAGCAGCATAGACATCACCGGAAGTGAAATTAATACACATAAAAGGAGCTCCTCACTGAACGGATCTATAAGAGTCCGCCATTTGGTAGTAGTTGGGTCTTTCTTTTTCATAAGAATGGTAGTATAATCTATATAAAATGAGTAGGTGAAGTCCATCACTTTTTCACGCTTGGCTTGTGTTGATAGGGGTGCAACCACTATGTCAATTTCCTGCAATTAACAAGGAATCAAATACTTTATACATCAAGATAACGTTAGCCCCGGGGTCATGAGTTGTATACTTAATATCAGATGTCAAATACTGGAGAGAAAAAAATAGTTTGTTAATATCATATTGCAAACAACAGCGTAGTGATGTAAAATATTAATACCTTACACTGTCATCAAAGCAGGGAAACATTACGAATCACAGTCTGGACAAATTGAAAGAAATTTTTAAAAAAGGGGATAAAAAAATAAGACACATGACAAAGTCTCGTGTGCTAGTACCATGAGAAAATCTGTATACGGTCTCCGATTGTGTAAGTTTTGTTTTATTTTCCCTTACGTTTTCCTTTTACAACATAAGTAAATAATGATAATAATGATAATATTCAACATTGATATAGCGCCCTATCTAGCTAGAATAAGCCACTCTAAAGCGCTTTACAATTCATTGTAGATATACAATTTTTACAATCAGTACAATTAGCATTTACATTTATCAATACAATTATGAGGAATTCTCAGGAGCTGCCTTATCAGGCGCTAATAACTAGGCTAATGATACCTGGCTAATATCTCCCTGTGTGTGTATGTCTGCGTGTGTGATGGAGATGCATTGTTTTAATAGTTATAGTATGGTTCTTCATCATATTGTTATAACATTTCATCACCGTTTAACATTTATCATCTAATTGTTATTGAACTGCACTCCGTGATCCTTATTTTTTATGTTTTGTAGATTTACTGTATGCGTTTCCTTTCTAGACTGATTAATCGTCCGATTGTCCGCAGACTGCCATTTTTCAACTGGTAATTTGACTAATTACTCCCTTTTGTAGAGACGACCGTAAAACCGTGCTTACTGCTTCGGCTAGTTGTCCAACCATGCCTGTCCATGTGCCGTTAGCATTAATCACCCCCCATTGTCCATCTGGTGGTCTGTCAATCTCAAATCTGAAATTAAGTACGACATTTGTAAATGATTTCGAGCTTAATGAATATCGCACCTACCATCCCTAGTGTACTACGACACTTATACGAGTTCTTAACACGCCAATACATATATATAAATAACTGAAAAAGTAAACAACTTTGCTGTGAAAAAGTGAGCTTTACATAGCATTTATCCTTTTATTTACACACTCTAAATACAGCATGTGTAAGATGACATTTTTGTGATGTGGAGTTGTCCCTCTTCTTCCGTGATACCAGCTACATAGCACAATTTCGATTTAAATATATTAGATACATAAATATGAAAATGAAGATTTTCCGTGACAATTTGACAAAATTCTTCGTGTTTGTTTTTTTGGCAATGTAAAAATTGAAGATATGTACATTGTTTATGTTGACACCATGCAATGATTAGATCATGTTTTGTTAGGCATAAAGCAATACCCAGGTGATAACCAAGACTCGCATGTCAACCCCAGTTCTGCGAACGTAGTTACGTCATCAATGTCAATGATTAAGATTAAGATTGGTTAAGATTTAGCTCCATACAACTGTCATTATTCGTAAATGAGATATACAAAGATTCTAACTTCACACATTGTATTATACATATTAGCTACAACTGCAGTACTGCTATAAAACTACATTTTGTCATAAATATATGTTCACTGACATATAATAATAATAATTCGAGGTTCTTATATACCGCTTTATCACAACATAGTTTGTAGGTCGTCCCATAGCGGTTCAAAAATTATTATCCGTGGTTATAGGGACTTTACAACCAGCTAATATATTTCTCAACTCCCTGGGGAGCATACAGCTGGGGCTGCCATTTCGGCGCTCACAGCTAGCATTCATGATTTCTAACACTGCACAACCACATACGTATTGACAGCAGAGTAGACTGGGACAAGCGGAGTAAAGTATCTTGCTTAAAGCTACAACACTGTGACTCGAACCCGCAACCCTTCGGTCACAAGCCAGGCGTCATTGATATATTAACATATGCATCATTTTCAAAGAGAAGTACTTACGTAAAATTCAGGCTGGATGCCAAATGATCAAGCAGGTCAAAACACAGCCCAGTGTATGTGTTATTCGGAGAGGCAATGACGAACGGTGCCCACTAAAATAAAACAAAATACAGAACAGGCTTAACAAACCCTTGACGCAAGAAGGTCGTACTGGTTGTAAAACATCAAAAAGAAACTCAAAAAGTATTACACATATCTAAGGCATGTAAAATGTTTAATTTGGGGAAAATGTTACAATCTAGTACTGTACCTGTATTGTACGAATAGTGTAAGTGATACATTGCAACAGATATCACGAACCTGTTTACCGGACTACTGTCAAAAATAGCATCAACATACATGTTTTAACAAACTGTATTGTATATAATGTTTGTAAAGGTCGAAGGTGATAGTTCGGGTTCAACACGAGGCCATTAAACAAATGGCGTGAACTTATTCAAATTAAGGTATTGTTTACAGCAATTAAGCCAATCCAGTAATAGATGTTCCCACATCAACTCATATATAGGTTCGGGCAGCTCTCAGCAGCATTGGTTGACACAAGTAAACGTTGCCTTTATCAGTTGTTGGCGTCGTAAAAATTTGTGTCCGTACGCGGGAAAAGGACACAACTCAACGTAACGAAAAAACATTACATTAAGCCTTGTAAAAGCTATGAAAAGAGAAATCATGGAGCAATATGTATCTTAGATAAATCAAATCAAGTTGCAATTGCAAGGATAAAATCATGTTTGAAGGCGCTATGGAATTAATCACAAAAAAGAAAAGAAACCATGTTAAATTTGTATTTGTGTACACTTTCTGTGCTGACAGTCTACTTTCCAATCGAACATTTGTTGATCTGCCCCTCTGTTAAATACATCGTTTATTTACCTCATTTAATCAATGGATATTAATGGCATTCAAACCATTACGCATCATGCGAAACTACTCAATGTTTAATCCCTCATGTTATAAACTTATCTATGGAAGTGTCGTTGTATTAACGTCGAATGTTTGCCAGGTCAACTGAAGCACAACACTGATTCAACAGCCCAAGTAAGCACCGTTAACACTATTACAAGTCGATTGATTTCCTCTCTGATTACAATTAGCTTTACATTATCCGTGTTGTTATACTATAAGGTTATAAATACACTCAAATCTAATAAATAGATGGTACTGACCAAGAAACGTCCCATATACATGTACTAAAAACACTGGAGAGGCTAAACATGAATAAATAAGTTATAAAAAAGCAATGCATGATCTATTCCTACTGCAAGTGTTGATATAATATTTTAAAGTATTTGCCTGACTTTGCATTTTTATTCTGAATAATGTGTTTGCATAATGGCGTCTAATCAATGTGAATGAATTTGCTTTGCGCACATCTTTTACTCTCTTTGATACGGGATATTGTGTCTGCCTGAAAATCAAATGCGTTTACATAACGGTGTCAGATCGACGAGGATTGCCATCTTTATAAGGGATTTAATATATCAATACAAATGCAAATATTGTTGCATGTTTGCCACGCGTTTAATAGATTCGAATTCAGTACCATCGTGTGTAGAAACGTAAAATCGAAAACCCATTTGGAAAAATTTTGAATTGGTACTGGAGGTCTTAAATCAACCACTCCGTCATTGTAATTATTACTCGACAACTGTGTCTGATTATTGATGATTTTTCGAATGCCAATTAATTCGCTCGATCCATGATAAGTTATCCACTATGTTGCAAAGCAATCAAAAGTATATAAAACATAATGTATTACAGCTGATGCTTGTGTTGTGTTGTTGAAATAAAACCAGGATGGACTTTTTATGGATAGTAAAGTTAAAAGAACATGTTATGGTCAACTGCAGTGATATTGAACATGTTCGTGATACTTGTTTCATCGAACAACAAATGAAAGGGTTGTTAGATCCAGTTCACGTGAGAGCTACTGTCACGCATACACATGGAATAGGTGTCTATAATATAGTATAGCGTTTACACAACTCGTGCTAATGGTATATTCACATTGTATCAATTTAAACCGTATAGTTGCTTTTCAAATGTACCAAGACTTTTCAGTTTCGTTCTGACGCTTTAGTACCAAAATGACTCTCTTGTGTCGAAGGAATGTTTAACCTTATCAAAATAAACTTTTCTACATGGGGGTGATTATATTAATAATTTTTGATTGCATTCAGCATTCATCGGTCGAATTTACTTCGGTTACCTTCATATGGTTATCAATATTAAGCAATCATAAAATACAAATATTTCAATTTAACCTGAGATCAACACAGGACATGTTAAACAGCAAGCTGCCAAATGATCTATAAATTATTCCTAACAGCAAGTTACCAAATGACCTACAATTTATTTGTATACTATCAGAATAAACCATAATTCCTACGTTATATGGACACGGTGTTACAAAACAGGATGTGATTCTGAATATCGAGTAAATCTCAGCGCTAGACGCTTCCTTTTTCTTTCATTTATGAAATGCCTTATATATAAAGAAAGGATATATGAACTTGCAGAGTACATACTGTAGGTATAACTCGTATAATGCACACAAAAACGCCCGCTTCTGTTTTTAAATCCTCAATTAATATTTCAACTAGCAGATAGTTATATATTAATATTTTAAAAGAGGTATCTACAAAGTATTGAAAAAAAATATCACGACTTTAGCCAGGATATACATTAGAGACTGACACAGTCAAATCCGACAAAGTTTGACTATGCAATTATGAACACTCAATGTGAAATTGTAACCAAATCGTCGTAGCCAAAACCTTTTTCAGTTAGAGACACTGTCTATGAGAGTGAAAGGAGAGCTCAACTTAAATTGTAGCGTTCACATCTGCGATGATTGTAAAGAATGACTTACCTCTAGAGTAGATACTGCGAATTTGCGATGGTTGAAGCCGAACCTTGTGTTTGGAAATATCTCTGCGTGGAAAGCAGTTCGTCCCATTGTGTCGACGTAGCCAACGTGACTCCAGCCGCGTCCGCCGACAGTGAACATAAGAGTCTGTACAGGAGACCAGTGACACCCCTGTAGTTCCTGCAAAGAAGGGTGATATTGTAATATCAGAAAACTCAGCTTCAGTTTCGGTGAAACAAAAGGCCTGCTATTTCCCACTTCATGTTGTTGAAGGCGACCAATGTCGGGCTCCTAAATTCGTCTTTTTTTTGATAATTTTTTTCTCTACTAAGAAACCAATGTTGATACTCATAGTTGGATATAGTAGGTCTATTCTTTTCTTTCTGGGAGTGTCCCTTATTGAAAACAAGGAAGAGATCACGCCCGACTCTGCACCTTTGTTGCCTCTTACGATCAAGCAATGGGATACAGCAGGCCTATTCATGTCCCGAACCTGCACGGGATGTTAAATTAATGGACACGAGCTTCTAATTATACTTTTTTTTTTACAACAATTCCATATTTTAATTTATATCAAACAGATGTTAGGTAAACTCACTTTTTATTTTTTTCTGACAACTTAACAATCTAAATAATAAAAAATACTTTGTTTATAAATTGACTTATTGATCGACATTCAGAATTCGAAACTCACCAATTGTCTAAAATTGTTATAAAATACATGTAATAATACGTGATTCGGATATAACGCAATTTTATAATTATTAATTTAAGCTCGTTTCAAATCAGTTTTAATGTATTTGAATCAATCGATTAACAACAATTGTGACGTGTAGTTTTTCAGGAGTGTAATGGCGATACATTCAATAAATCGGAAACGAAACACGTGCAATTAAATGACTGTTGCCTCTAGATTGCATTTGTAGGGAATTATTAATTGTCTGTCCAGAAAAAATTGCCTATACTATAAATATGAATGTAAAGCATCGCAGTTTTTATGAACATGGCACAAATATCGTGTAATGAAAGTAGAGGACAATACTGGTTTACTCAGCATGTCATGAGACAGATATTTAAATATTTATATCAATTAGTAAACTGCCACGCAATAAATCTAATAATCAGCCTTCACACTTTTGGTTAAGTATTTCCTCAAAAGAATACTCATCAGACTATTTGATAAACAAAGTGTTAATTTTTCATAACACAAAAGTGTTTAAGAAGGAAAACTGTTCCCAGTCCTGTCTCAATTTTAACTGCGTGTAATTTTGTGTATCTTTTTAATATGCATTGTAAGGCTATGTATAGTACACGATCATTTGAAATTACTACCTTTCGACCCTCTATCTACATACATAACTAAGTATATAGTAATACGTACACACGCATAACCTACAAACAATCGTTTCTAATATGAACCATTACAAAGTTTGATTAAATCACCAATATGAATTATTCACCTTTTATTTTACAACCTAAACATGTATCGGCGTGTATTCTTTTACATATACGGAATTCCATGCACCAAAAATCAACACTGTTCTTATGTTCCTAAAAGAAACGCAAATTAACTAGGAAAAGATTTCCACGAGACAGTATTCTTCCATAACACTTCCAAAGTTACCTTTCTTAACTAAAACAATATCAATCACCTCTCCATTGATTACTAATGAATCAAAACTGCTGTAGTTGAGCTAACAATTTGCAGAACAGATTAATTGAAATATGTCACAATATGTTTTCTTTTTATATAGAAATTAAAGTACGTTAGCTGTCAGTGTTAAATCCCCCCCNTCACAAACGTAGGGGACGTCCTTAAATTTACCTTTTCTGTTATTTGGACGTTTAACAATTACCCAATCGATATACGTTGCATTTTATCTACTTCAAAATTCAATACATGACTCACCGATTGTAAAAGCTCAAGAATCAAATAATTCATATCGGATTTATTCATCGTTGTCATTGTGGAATTTGAACCGATGTTAAACAGCGCTTTTCTAACGAGTTGAAGTATGTCTGTAGTCTGTAACAAAAATAAATAAAATAAATATGTTTATATAAATCGATAAAACATGTCTGAACTGCAGATGGATATTTTGGAAAGAGCTGACAAGCATACACTGTATTTTCGATACGCTGATTATTTCTTATTCCCAATCAGATAGTAGTTCCATACATACATATTTGTTCTTTGCTGCTTGGACCGATAGCATTTTAGGGCATGGATAAAAAACAATCTACCTGGACCAAACAAATATTATGCAGATTTCAACCTGTGACTTAATGTACACGTGTCTGCAGTTAACAGTTCAATACAAGCTATGATTGAATGAAATTATACCGCAAGCTGTTAAAAAGAAACAGAAAAACATGTGACATGTAATGCTAAGTGTAGCTTGTTCAAATACGTCAATGTTTACCTTGATTGAGCTACAGCATATTATGCGACTTCGATGTACCCGGATATAGGCATTTAATTGTAAATAAGAATTAAAGTAAAGACAGGAACGGAATGCTTTTTAAAGAGTTATTGGTAACTGTCGTTTTACAAAGATACCGGATGATATGATAAGACACTTAATGCGGGTGAACTTTTTTAAAATTAAATAGTTTGTTTCTGATGAATTTGTCACTCTATTTCACCTTTTTACCTTTTTATTTTAAGTTTGATGTACAGTGTATTTCTTTTTGTAAACGACTTTCTCTTTGAAGTCTATTTTTGTCCTAAATGACGTCAATTGTCGGATAGGCCGTAAACAAACTAAGGTATTTTGTTTTTAAAGGTTACTTTGTACATAACTCATTTCTAAATCTGTCCATATGAAATCTGCCAGCTGCCATTGTGACGTGATTTTACGAATGGGCAATGGTTTTTCAACCAGTAAGGAAAAGATCGATTTTAAACGGCAAATCATCTGGACGATTTTTCACGATTTTGTAGTGTGGGTTCTCAGCTTACCCCGTTGTTTTTATCGGTGCCGACGAAGAAGGTTGGGAGAAGGATGACAGCCACGTTGTCGATATTCGCAGCGTATTCCTGTATTCGATAGAGATTGTTATCATCCTGCAGCAGGAAAACCAGCCAAAGAGAGCGTATACTTAGTGACGACCGTCTCTGGTTATTCCTGACGTACTGACCCGCCTGTATGAAAATCAAAGACATGTAGGCAAAGATGTTGCCCCTGATACAAGCATACATATAAACGCAGGGAATCGCATGTTAACTGAAATTGAAATGCTTGAACACTTTTATGAATGGAATTGGTAAATATGCGAATGTATGGTACATTGTATTTTGTATGTTCTTGATTCGATTTTTGCAAACGTAGGCAGTCCTGTCTGTTAAATATATGTTGTAGTGTCTCAAACAAATTTGATATTGTTATAACCGAAGGTACGTTGATTTGTTTTCGATGGACTCAGAATATTCCAGAAACGTTTTTTCAAACGTCTATGTAGCGTTACATAATGACGAAATAGCAAGGTTGCAATATGGTAATTGTGAAAATAAATATTGAAACGCATAGGTATGGTTTTGAGATGAAATGAGTCAGCAACAATTCCACTTTCCTGAATTAATACAAAACACATAAAAAGGTGTATCGCCGTGGTCTATTTATAAGAAATACACTCACAAAACACTTACTGTAAACAATACGTGTTCAACACATGTAGTATGTCCCATGATGGTTATGTTGATTTTGTGGTCACCACTAGGTCCGTCTAGCGTCTCCAGCAGTACCTGTACCTGATCCTGATTCATCGTGCCTACCTCGTAAGCAACCACAAAACGACCCTCATTGGATAATACCCGGATGATTCTATCCACATAAAACTCTAGGATTTGAATAGAAGTGTTTTTTATTCAGCATTTCATTATAATCTGGGTTCAGTAATTCGTAAGATGAATCGCTTAATCACTGTTTCACGGCAATTCTAACCTCTAATAATTCAGTCAATATACAAGGTAAAGTGTACATGTTATTTTACTCTACTGAAAATTTTCTGTGTGGAGATGTTTCACTCAATAAAATTGTTGTGTACACGGAAAAAATAAAATTTGCGCTAGTCACTGATTAAGCTTTAATCATCTTTTAAACAACTGAACCCTGATGTGCTTACTAAATAGTACCTGAGGAAACACATTAGAGATTATCTATTAAACAGTTTTATATAAAAAAGGGGGGTACGGAGATACAATTGATGTATACTTGATATAAACATTTCTTACAGATTAGAGAATGTTGATTTTAGCATATTGCTATTACTTACAGTTTTGTAGAACATTCAATCGTTGTTTTTGTGTCATGTTTCATTAGGTTTTTGGCCATTGTTTTGTCTTTAAACTTCATTTTACTGATTTTAAACCACTTATAACAGCATTTCTAAGATCACAGTGGCAAAATAATAGGAATCAATGCGTAGATAACAAATTACATTCTATTAAACCTCAAATCGGTGAATGGCATCCTAGCTACAGAAAGAGGCGCCGAGACGAGGTTTTCCTTTCCCATCTTCGGATGGATCATTCATACATTACCCATTGCTATTTACTTAAACGTGATGTCGAGCCTCAATGCAAAGCGTGTCAGGAACCATTTACAGTAAATCACTTCTTATTAGGTTGTGTCGACTTTATGTCAACCCGAGACAATTTCTATAATAACATTACATTTCTTAAACCTCTTTTCGAGAACATAACTGTCTCTTCAATTTTAGGCTATCTGAAAGCTGTTTGTCTTCTTTTTATTAAAATTTGAGTCATCATAGCTACTTTCAATATTCAAATCGACGTTTGTCTTTTAACCTTTAAGTTTGTTTGATGTTTTTATTTTGCATTGGTTTTTTGTCGACTGTTTGTTGGCCCTAATGACCTATCTTGTGTTGATGGGCCGTTAAGCATTTAATTATAATTATAATAATTTTCAATATTATAATTATCATGTTGTGTATTTTGCTTACGGAAATTGCCAAGCACGTTCGTCTCTCTACATGTACATGTACGTTATGTCATAGCAGAATTCGTTTTTTTGCGTATGTCATTTAACAGTTCATTTGTCTTTGCGTCTTGTTAAGTCTCGAACACCTACAACTCAGCATTAGCCAAATACAGCTCGTAAATTGAAAATAGTCAAAATGGATGAAAACTGTTTAACAAGCAATCTTCACGTTAATTAAATCCGCCCTGGGGTTACTAGTTTTCCAACACACATACATTTGTATAACCAACATCTTGTTGAAAAATTCCTTAGTTAAAAACAGAAATATATACCTATTGCTTTTTCATACAGGATAATTTGGGTTGTCCATCTGAGATGATGGAGCACTGCGATGATATTAGAATCCAGGTAAGACAAACTGTGGTTGTGTTGGAGCGTGGACATGTGTTCTACGCTATCGACCGGAGGTAAACATTCATCCTGTGAATTAGCTGTTTCCGGAGGCGGGAAAGAAGATCGGCAGTCGTTGTCACCGTTTACATCAGGCACTGGGACCCTGTTGATTCTACCAAGGGCTAGCACCGGGATATTATCGTTAATCAGTTGTTTTGTCAAACCACCAAGGTATTGTAGGTCAACCGCGAGTAAAATGGAGTCCATGCCGACACGTCGGAATTCCATTACTATAAAGCAAACACGATATTGGTTTACTGTGATAAATTCATTTGATTAACGGTTGGGAAAATCAATTATCAGAATGAAAAAAGAAATAAATCGATGAAATATAAATACTGACGGAATATCAGCGGCCTTTAGTACCACAATGGTTTCATATGATTGTGATGAGTATTGTAATGTTATAACCAAAGGGCCCATTGAACTTAAAGTACGTTGTTTATTTGGTTTGGTAATTAGACTTAAGAAGATGTTTCTGTGTGTGTTTTGTTTTCGTGCTTGTGTGTATGTGTACGGGAGGCGGGATATGTTGATGAATTGCTCAGTCTAATATTTTTAATAACCTAAATTAGAACTTGTTACAAAGGCAGCATGGAGGTTTACATTTGGTATATATCGCAGTCTTCAGATTTGGTTTGTTGGTAAGCCTACCTGTTCGTAAGACCTGATAGCTCTCTTTGCTCTCCAGATAAATCCAATGGAGCCGGACAGCAAGAGACTCGTCCCAGACTGAGGTCGATGTCAACGTTTGATTATATTCAGCATTGTTGTGTGAGCACCCATCAGCTATTACACCTATAGTGATGTTAGAAAAGACCTTTGAATACACTGTAGTACTGGTATATGTAATAATAACCGTAAAATGAAGCGAATGGGATACCGAACGCAACATCGTATATTTCATACTGTATATAGGTAATCACACTTTTATGGCAAGAAACATTTTACAATAGATAATTATTCACACATTTGTTGAAGAAATGGTGAATTCTATTATAAATGATTGGCAGTATATGATTGGTTACAAGAATATCGAGAAGGACAATGTTTGCTTCGTTTAATGTAAGCATGTGTAATTTTGCATAAAACTATATACTTCAATCTACTGATACAACAAACCATTCCCTTGAGGTTGCTGTTATGCCTTTATAAAAAGAAAGGCTATTGAATTAAGTTGGTTACATTTGTGTTACAAAATGCATACTTCGGTTAATATTGTTTCATTTCCCATTGTAAAACAATAACATCTAAAGATGCTTGGGTAGCCATAAAGTATATGCAAATGTTTCGTTTTTACTTGATATGCGATGTTGAGTTAGTATTTTGTTTTTAACGTCATTTGTCATCCATTTAGTGTGAATGTCGATTTTGTTTGTTTGTTTGGGTTAAACATCATCGCAATAGCTAAGGTCATTTGAATACACCTAGGGAGCGCCACTGAACCGAAGGAGTAGAAAAATGAAAGGGGGAGAAAAATATATAGTTCCCAAGAGTTGTATTGGGCAGCAAATACATTGTGGTTTTTATTTCATGTTCCCTGAGCAGAAGACAAAGCAGAAATCCACTAAATCCGCAGGGGTCCCGACATGCAGTGGGATACAATAAGCCTAGTCCCCATCTAAGGTGTAAAAATCACAATAAAATGCACGAACAATGTCAAATAAAAACGCGCAGTGTTTGAAACACAGTATTGTTGTTAGTTACGTTGTTATCTAGAAATATGATATTTACACAAATATATTAATCGTTAATGTATCAACGTAAATGTATCAACGGATTCATGGCCATTTCCAAATAGACAATAGAACATTAAGTGAATAAACTTCTTAACAATCTGGTTTGCTTCTGAAGTATTTCAAAAGAAATTTCAGCTCCCAAGGACAGAATCATATTTCAGATGGCGTGTGTTCCAGAAAAGTTTTCCGGAACACCACGTGTCCACCTGAGCGGTTGTCGTGGTGCCTTACTCCAGTTTTGGTACGTTCTTTTACTATCGCTTAACTCAAGATGTTTGATATATTGAATCTGAAATAGTCTATTAATCGCAATATTATTATACTTCATCTATGTAACAGCGTGTCTGATTGGATTATANAAAAGTGTTATAGATATTTGATAAACAGTTTATAACAAATTTTGACAAACATATTTTCATTTACTGTTTTTTTTACCTTTTATTTTATGTATTCAGCCTTTGAAATCAATCTTTCCTTAGAAAAAGATGTGTTTGTGCCAACGTGAAAAAGGTCCTCCTGAAAGATTAGGATTTGGCCGCAGAATATGCGATCACTTATGCAGGATATTTGATCTTTCACAAACAAATATTCACTTCAAGATAACATAGCTGTACAAACTTGAGTATACTTTCGCTAAGATAACAAAGTGAACCATGGGATCGAAAAACTTAGATCCCCGAAATTTACACATCGATATAGCAACGTTTCTACTGTATTGCGGATTGTGCTGAGTAATCAGGCCTCTCACAATTTTGCCTGTGACTGGCCTTTTCAAGGGCTTGCGTCACTGCTGTGTCATATAAGCAAACGCTTTAAATTATACATTCTCTTTCTATTTTGGTACAGATTGTATGGTCAAAACACTAGCATGTAGTCGATACCCGTCTACGCCAGCATTATATATACATTCTGGAATCACTTACAGTAGTAGTTATGTTACGTGACTGGTTAGCTGTGAAATAAATAAAGTGATCAACTAAAGTTATGGCTAACGCACTGTCTAAATAGCTTAATTCCAATTTGAGATCATATTTACTAAATAGAAAATAATTTTCGAATTATGAAAAAGAAGACGTGCACCTAAACATTTTGTTCCCCAAATTATCGACAAAATCAATCATTTATCATTCTTTTGTATTTATAACGTGTATGTAATGTAGCCTATTCTCTGCTATTCAGTTAATTATCATTCATAGTAAATGCTATATATTTGAATATTATACGTCGATATCAAATGTAAATACATTGCCATTATTCATTTTAATATCGCACGAACAGTACCAAACTTGATGCTTCATTTGTTTTATTGTTGTACGACTGGATGGGTTGGGAACGAATCTGGTATTAGTGGCACTTTTAATTAACAGGGGATATGAGTATGCCTATATACATTATTATTATACTTCATCTATGTAACAGCGTGTCTGATTGGATTATATTGATCGCATGACGAAGATATCAAAACCTCGTGTTCCCTTCATGCGTTTGCGTCCCCATCGTAATATTTCCCTTATTAAGAACATATTTTGAACAATAATCAACGGTTACCACACCTGCGCGAGTCGCGTAAGGGAACATCAAAAACGGCGCTTTAGTTTTGATTATCTTCACTGTTTTATTATTGTTCTATGTCAGTATACTAATGTATTATTATTCCTGCGTTTGGAAACACGATGATTCTTTGTTTTCCCCTCGACAAATAAGTTTCACTCGAGTTTCGTCTTGTAAACCCAACTTATCCTCGGGGGAAAAAATAACTTTACGAGGTATCATAACGTCGAGCATTATTTATTTCTTGAACGCAGTTCAGTTGAAATAATTAAAAAAATGAAAACAACAGGGACGCTTTAATCTCGGCACTCTCTGACTGTGAAGTCGTTTATGCATTGGCAGTTCAAATGTATGTCGTTATTCTCAATAGTGGTACAATATACACAGTCAGAATAAACACAGTCATGTTAAATAACCAGTTCCGTTTTACCTGAAAGAGCAAATAGTATCAATTTCATGTGAAAAATCGACCAGAATTGGACACAAAATAAATCGGAAAATCCTCATATGAATTTGTCATGAGTTTCGTGTAGCATTCCGTCAAAACTGCACACTGAAACAGTTCAGTCTCCTTTTTATTCGACTTGTTGTGTGTAATTACAGGCTAGGTTTATGTATTTGCCTTCTTGTGATAAAGTTTATCTGATGCCGACATTTGAGTGCTTCCTCGATGAAATACCATGTCAAAGGCCCCGAATGTTACTCATGCAGGTGGAGGATCGGGAAAAGAATACACCTGCTGTTACCCACTGCATGTTTCGTAGGAGGCGACTAATGTCGGGAACCCCTTGCATAANACAATGGGTTCTTTCCCTAGGCCGGGACATACCAAAGTCCTTAAAAATGGTAGTTGTTATTCCTGCTTAACGTTCATCATGAAGGAGAATTGCAACAACTGGTTCACCCGTTGTCAGTTTAATGTGACCGGGCGGAATGTTGTGCTTAGTGCATTCGGCATGATATTTCAGTGATATAGCACTATAAAGTCGGCATCAGATCCGCGCTATCACAATTGTTATTATTATTATTAATGTTGAACGGCCCATCAACATATGAAAGGTCATTAGGGTCAACAAATGGTCGACAAAAACAAATGCTGAATCAAATTGTATAGGTGTGAAAAAAGAGAATGAGGTAAGCACATCAGGATACCTTGTCTCCTGCATACACACATCAATCACGCATACACTTCACACATGGAGGTACGTCCTTAAATGATCTTAATTTGGATACCAGGTCATGTCGGAATAAACACAAATGAGAAGGTAGAAAAAGCTGCTAAACCAGCGCTTAATCTAAAACCAAAAGATATTAAACTGCCATTTTTTTAATTTTTAACCTTGTATAATCAATTTTATTAAAACGAATTGCCAAAATAAATGGCCTGAAGAATTAAACATCAAGTTATTTGCAATTCAACCTAATGTTGGTTCATGTGCAACTAGTAGAGCACACCGCTGAGAGAAAATTGTACTCTTGCGACTGCGCATAGGCCATACCTACATCATACATGGCTACACTTTGCGTAAGGAAGACCTGCCTTATGGTCATGCATGCGATCAACCATTTACAGTAAAATACTTTATGATTAAATGCGCTGATTTCAAACAATTACGTGACAGATTTTATGATGTACCGTCTATGAAAAGATTACTCGATACAGTTTCTGTGCAATTAATATATGACTGTTTACACTCTATTGATCTTTACAATAAAATATGATATATTGTGCAGCCAATTTGTTCGATATTGATGTATTTCTTTAACCCTTTACATATTTTAAGCTATTAAGTTTTGGTTCGATGTGTTCATATCCGTGAATGTCACTTTTTACAGCGTTGTTGGCCCGAAATGTCTCACATTGTCGATGGGCCGTCAAACAAAAAACAAAAACAAAAACCCGTAGCAGTTAATAACGTTAAACAAAATTAAACTAAACAAAACCTAGCCCCGAACGCAGTATTCAACCAGGCCACATTAAACTGACAACGAATAAACCTGTTGTTGCCTTTACTCTAAGTGCTGAACGTTAAACAGAGAATAACAACTTCCACATTTAGGTTTGATTCGGCCTTGGAAATGACATGTTGATCATGTTGTGTTATTAATTCTACTCGATTCATCGTACAAGGTACCTTTGATTTGATAGGCGCTAAATGTCTCGTTTCCTACACAAGAGGCAAAACCACAACGGCGTCATTGTATGTCCAACCAGAATTTGTGTTTAAATTCCTGTCATATCATAATGATTTATACCGAGATCGGACATGGTTATGAAGCACATTGTGCTGATGCTTTTTGTCAATGTCTTTCCCGTTTTCACCATGTTAAAAAAGAGCTGTCATTATTCGATGTGTTTATTCTCCCGCCCTTGCACCTGTATCTGGACGTCTGCACTCTTAGTGAAAATTAATTATTAATTTGACTATCCAAATAGCTTCACGATGATTTGTGTTACGGAAAGGGACTCTAATCATGAGGTCATAACAAGATTGCTTTTCTGGAGAG